TACAAGCCAAGGAGAGAGGCCCCAGGAAAAACCAAACCTGCCAGCACCTTGATCTTGGACTTCCAGCCTCCAGTACTCTGAGAAAATAAAATTCCATCCATTACCCCACCTAGTCTATGGTGGTTTATTATGGCAGCCCTATCAAACCGGTACGCCTAGAGAAAGATTACGCTCAAGTTAACACCCATGCTGAGGGGGAGGAAGAAGCTGGAGTGTCATTTTTCTTTTTTTTTTTTAACATTTTCTATTGATTTATAATCATTTTACAATGTTGTGTCAAATTCCAGTGTAGAGCACAATTTTTCAATTATACATGAACATATATATAGTCATTGTCACATTTTTTTCTCTGAGAGCTACCATAAGATCTCGTATATATTTCCCTGTGCTATACAGTATAATCTTGCTTATCTATTCTACAATTTTGAAATCCCACTCTATCTCTTCCCACTCTCCGCCCCCTTGGCAACCACAAGTTTGTATTCTATGTCTATGAGTCTGTTTCTGTTTTGTATTTATACTTTGTTTTTGTTTGTTTGTTTGTTTAGATTCCACATATGAGCAATCTCATATGGTATTTTTCTTTCTCTTTCTGGCTTACTTCACTTAGAATGACATTCTCCAGGAGCATCCATGTTGCTGCAAATGGCATTATGTTGTTGGTTTTTATGGCTGAGTAGTAGTCCATTGTATAAATATACCACATCTTCTTTATCCAGTCATCTGTTGATGGACATTTAGACTGTTTCCATGTCTTGGCTATTGTAAATAATTCTGCTATGAACATTGGGGTGCAGGTGTCATCCTGAAGTAGGGTTCCTTCTGGATATAAGCCCAGGAGCGGGATGACTGGGTCATATAGTAAGGCTATTCCTAGTCTTTTGAGGAATCTCCATACTGTTTTCCACAGTGGCTGCACCAAACTGCATTCCCACCAGCAGTGTAGGAGGGTCCCCTTTTCTCCACAGCCTCTCCAGCATTTGTCATTTGTGGACTTTTGAATGATGGCCATTCTGACTGGCGTGAGGTGATGCCGCATTGTAGTTTTGATTTGCATTTCTCTAATAATTAGTGATACTGAGCATTTTTTCATGTGTCTATTGATCATTTCTATTTCCTCCTTGGAGAATTGCTTGTTTAGGTCTTCTGCCCATTTTTGGATTGGGTTGTTTGTTTTTTTCTTATTATGTCATATGAGCTGCTTATATATTCTAGAGATCAAGCCTTTGTCGGTTTCATTTGCAGAAGTTTTTTTTCCCGTTCCATAGGTTGTCTTTTTGTTTTACTTATGGTTTCCTTTGCTGTGCAGAAGCTTGTAAATTTAATTAGGTCCCATTTGTTTATTCTTGCTTTTATTTCTTCCAGGAGAAAATTTTTGAGATGTATGTCAGATAATGTTTTGCCTATATTTTCCTCTAGGAGGTTTATTCTATCTTGTCTTATGTTGAAGTCTTTGATCCATTTTGAGTTCATTTTTGTGTATGGTGTAAGGGAGTGTTCTAGCTTCATTGTTTTACATGCTGCTGTCCAGTTTTCCCAACACCATTTGCTGAAGAGACTGGAGTGTCATTTCTACACTCTATTCTTTGGGTTCTTCTCATTTCTGTTCTGTGAAAGTCCTGTGACTTAGTTGTCATAAAGCATTATTTATTGTTGTAAAGTTTCCCTTTAAGAAGTTTCCATTTGTTCCTGCTTTCTTTGTTACATGGGCCTTTCAGTTAACACTTTCTTCCCTACACATTTCAGGGACATATGGAAGTGAGTCAGAGAATGGAATCAAACGAACCGGGGCTTGCGTCTCCAACACTTACTAGGTCTACAGCCTTGACCTCGACGATCTCTGAGCCCGTCACATCCTTTTCATGGCTCCCTGTAAATCCTGGAGAGGGGACTTAGGATGAAATCTTTTATATTTCATAAAAATCCTCTCCTGGTTTTTTCAGCTATGATAGTTTCTCAGAACTCAATCGCCATTTTGGGAGTGCTAGCAAAATATTGTTTAAAAGCATGTGTGTTTGTATGTGAAAATTATCAAAGCAGGAAGTGATTTTATGAGTCAGAACATGTGGATTCATCTGTACATGTTCAATTCTGTAAACTACGGAAGAGGGTGGCTGGACAAAATGTTAAGTCTAAGTTGAGGACTGAAATTTGCCTTAGACAAAGAGTCCTGTGTAGTACTCAGTAAAAACCATCTGTCAAGGCATCATTCATGAAGGAATAAAGTCATCAAATATACCACTGCAGAAAGGAAAGCCTTGGGGCCCACCTCAACGTTGGGATCGCATCTGTCACACTCCTGCTTTCAGCTTATCTGACTTCAAGACCCTGGGAACTGCTTTGAACTGTCAGATTAGGCAGATTTTCTCTGCCCAAGCATCAGAAATAAGGGCCTATGCTCTCTTCCTCCTCATCTTTTATTTATTTATTTTTAGTTGCCATTTTTTGCATAAATGGGTAAAGCAGAGAGGATAGAAAGAATACACAATATTATTTAAATGGCTTCCCTTCCCTTCCTCATTTTATTCTTGGTCCATTATTGATCTTTATCTTCCCAGGACATTTGTCAGTTGCAGAGATAATACTAAGAATCTTACTTTGGCCATTTATATTTTAACAGATGGCTAGAGTTTCCTAAGGTTCAGTTTTTTAAGCTATGAATTGGGGATAATAACACCTGGGCAGCATGGGGATTGAATGCGACAGGGTACGTTCAGGCTCCCCACCCGGGGCCTGGCACATGGTCAATGCTCACAGATGTTTGCTGTGACCCTGGTTACTATGCGCTTCAGACCCTAAATGCTACCCCCAAAGACACTTCACATTTCATTTCTCTTTCAGGTGTGACAATGCTACTGTGATTGTTCCATCTTCAGGTTTGTGGGATATTTTTTCCCCCATTCATCCACCTACTCAGATATTTCTTCATGGCATGTTAGGTACTAGGGAGACTTACTATAGGGATTTCTTCTCGTTCTCTCAGGAATTGGATTTATGCACTTAAGATTCATAGAAAAACCTCACTCTTGATCTCAGTGTTCTTTTGATTTCTGTCCTTCCATGAATTGTATGATCCGTTTAGGAACACCCACTTGCTAAGATAACATCTGTTTTATTCTTATTTAGTTCTCGGTGACACCACATTAGTCACTCTAGGTAAACAATCTTCCATATTAGTCACTATGGAATAGGTTATCTGTTTGACATCAGAGACCAAAGTACCTTTCCTAAGATGGATTTCAAATGTAGCTAAGAGCCTTTCATCCCAGGCCTTGGGCATCACAGCTTAAGGTTTACCACCTACTGACCTTCCCCAGGAAGAGGAAAATCCTCCTCTTCCTTGCCTTTATCCCAGGCATGTTTTAAAAAGAGTGGGACTTCTTTCTTCAGAAGCTTTACCTTCCTATTCCAGCTTCTCTTCCTCTCTCTTCTTCCCATGACTTTGATTTCTCCTGTGGTTATACCCTTTTGCCCACATCATCCATGGTGTCAAGTATGTACAAACAATAGAGCTTTCTGTGATGATGGAAATACACACACACACACACACACACACATATATCTACATATATATTAATATATAGCCATATGTGGCTGTTAATCATTTGAAATGTAGCTAGTAAAACCAAAGAAATATGTTTTTAATTTTAGTTAATTCCAGTTTAAATAACCACATGTGGCTAGTGGCTACTGTCTTGGACCACACAGCTCCACTGCTTACGAGATTATTGCAGGATATGTCTAGATACTAGTAAGGAACTCTCATAGGTCCATGGGACCCGGGTGCCTTCAGTGGGACTGAGCCCCCTCCCCGCTTCATTTTGTCCCTTGGAGCAGAGAGTTAAAGTTAAAAATTAGCAAACATTCCCTCTTAGTTTCTCCTCCTTTTATTTCCTTATTAGGTGGATTAACATCCCTTACATATTGCATTCTGCTTGGGACCTAGATACATATATTATCTAAAATATTCACAACAACCCTAAAAGACAGTTATTATCCACATTTTATAGACAAGGCTCAGAAGAGTAAAGTAACTTGCTTGATGTTGCAGAGTTAATAAGCCACAGACCTAGGATTTAAACCAAGTTCTACTATAAAGAAATCCTGTCCTCTCACTGTCTCTGATCTCCAGTCTGTGACACACATCCCTCTTTGAGATAATTTGTCATCAAAACACTGCCTGCTACCAAGCCATCCTGACTTCTTGGTCCAATTATCAATGATACCATTCCCAGCTTTTCTCTGCTTCATGTTTTTACTTCCTAGACTTATTCTTTCTCTTATGTTTTTTTTTTCCCCATAAGAGGCCACCTTCTGCTCACCTCTCCTGGCTTTACTGCTCTGTGCCCCTGTCCAGCTGGCATCATGTGTGTTAAGCTATTCTGGGTCATACTGCATTTCCTTGCCGTGCTTCCTATATGACTAAGCGTTGCACAGCTGAGCTTTCAGTGCAACTCCACAGATTCCTGTCTTAGCTTCCTGAGCCCATATTTATACCTGAATACCAACAACTCCAGCTATTTTGTATAGTCTCTTCCTAAAACTCTTATGACCCCCTTAAAGGGATAGGATGCTTTTTCAAAGGGCTGAGTCTTTTTTTTTTTTGCTATCAATTTGCAAGAGGCTTATAAAAAATCCAGTGGATATACATGTTCAACTCATCCTCACAATTCATCCATGTGTTGTCCCTTCCCATTTTGTTAGTGAAGAAACAGAGTCTCAGAATGATTTATTCAATTTTCAGCAAATGTATCAGGAAATCAGAAGGGGGTCCAAAAATAGAAGCTAGCTCAATGTGCAGCCTAAAGTTAAGGCATGATTCCCAAAGTGTTGAAGATTCACCCTTTCCTAAGAAAATCAAGGATATTTATTTCCAAGCAGTTCTTGGAAATGAAAATAGACAGAATTGGAAATACCATTTCGGACCACACACTTAGCCTACTTCTCACAATAACCTGGCACTGAAAATTTCTCAAGACCAAGCAGCTCATCTCCTTAAGCACACAGTCTACTGAGGCCAAAGAGTTAGGGGTAGAAACAGCAGTGAACTCTTTATTTCCTAAGTGTGGCTGGATTTCTGAAAATGCTTTGGCAGCAGCATAAAAACAGTATCTCCATGTGTGGATCAATCTAGGGTTTTAGCAACATAAGGAAAATATACATATATACATGTATATATATTTATAAAAATGGCAGGTAAATGTGATTAATAAATGGAATTGGGAGAGGTTTGATTTAAGCAGTTTCACTTATTTTATGGGATTGCTGAGAGGCCTTTATGGGCAGTTATTTCCAGACAGCTTATCCTTGGTAAAGCCTGAGTTATCCTCCTAAGGCAAAGAATACTTTAGAGTACAGGAAGTCAACAACATTATCTTCTAAGGTTTCTTCATTTGTTTGCGTAAAGCAAACTTCCATTATACTACATACTTTAAATGGAACTTCCTTTAAAATCTTCTTTGGATTTTTTATTACCCTCTTGCAAGATCAACAGCAGAATGGGAAAACATGGTCCACTTTTGAAAAGTAATGAGAGCAATGTTATATAAATGGAAATCCAAGAATTCTTCTCAGCATAACTCATCACTGCTCATGAAGAAAACTTAGAAGGATATGGAAGGGCATTGATATGTCCAGCCTTAATATCCAGGTCAGCTGATCTGAAAAGAAAATGGGGAGAGACCCAGTGGTTCAGTGATGGGAACAACATATGAAGGCTTTTAAAAATAATGTTAATACAGATATAAACAAATAGCAGTGAATTGTATGTTTCCTAGGGCTGCTGTAACAAATTACCACAAACAAGGTTTCTTAAAGTAACAGAAATTTATTTTCTTATAGTTCTGGAGACTCTAAGTCTGAAGTCCAGGAGTGAGCAGTGTTGGTTCCTCTGGGAGGCTCTAGGGGAGAATCAATTCTGGAGCTGTGTCCAAGGCTTGTGGTAGTTGCTGGCAGGACTAGGCATTCCTTGGGTGTAGCTGCATCACTGTAATCTCATGCTCACTACAGTCCCTAGACAGTATGCCAGTTCACAGTGACAGTCATCACTTGGCCTTCTTTCCTGTGTGCCTCTGTTTTCAGATGGCCTTCTTTTAAGGATCTGTCGTTCAGATTTAAGGCCCACCATAAACCACCATGACTTCATCTTAATTTAACTGATTACATCTGAAGAGCTGCTTTCCCCAAATAAGACCACATTCTGAAATTCCAAGTAGACATGCATTAGGGAGGACGCTATTCCATCAGTACAACCACTGTAGGAGTTATCAGTAGTCCCTGACCTCAGATCTCTATATATAGAATCATGGCATGGTAGAGGGTACTTGAGTTGGGAATCTGGAGGCCTGGGTATGCACAAGCTCGCTCTGGTGTTGCACTTGACTGCATCTTAGTCATTCACACAGGAACGAAGGGGTTGGAGGAGTTCAGAAGCCCTTATCCTGGGATCCCTGAATGGGCTTTAGAAATTGTCTGCACTTCTAAAATTGTCTGCACATCATTGCGTCTGGCATGTTGATGCTTTCAAGATAGAACTTCCTTGTCTTTCCTGAGGTTCCCCAAGGGATCTTGGACCCGAAAAGCTAAGAACGATTGTATCAAATTATCTATAAAGTCCACCAAAACATTCTGATTTCTTGACGTATATTCGATCTGTTGTTGTGTTTCCCTGATTTTCTGATACACTCAGAGTTTCGGGATAGTATATTAAAAGTAGATCCTTTAATATTATTTTATTTTGCAATGCTTCTGGCTCATTTCTAATGTGCATCCTTCCGGAGAACCCACAGGTGGATCATTTTCTGCGTTGCTCATTTTTTATGCAATAGAAAATGTAAATGAAACTCAGAACTGGGAGAAAACAAGCTAATGCCAGCAGAGGGGGGAAAAAGAAACATAGTTGAATGGGTTTACAGCTAGATATGCAGGACTTGGTATCAAAGGGTTTAGAATGGAGCTGGGCAAAGGATCAAGTGTGTTGGGTGGGAAGGCAAGGGGTTACCTTGTGGGATTTGGAGCTTTAGTGTGGAAAACACTTTCCCCTCAGAATCTAAAGGTCCCGCTCACCTAACATGTTAGTGTCTCCCTAGTAAATAACAACTTCTTAGTTATTAACAAGATTTCCTTTCAATGGTAACTGTCATCAGTCTGTTCTGTGTTTTGAAAAAACAGGCTCCCTCTGTTTCTTTTAGGCACCCTCGATGTCCATCCACACCCTACATGGTTAGTTCAGGAACCATAGATGGTTGGGTTCACAGATCATCAGATCTCTTTTATTTTCCCCCTTTTTTTTTTGTCTGCCTGATTTTTATTTCTGCATCTCTTTGGAGCTTTCTCACAAACAGATGAGCGAGGAGGGAAAACAGATTCTCATCTACTGACTGGATTGCTACTTTTCTATTATTTGAAAAAGGTGTGGTCCCAGGAGTGAATTTAGTTATCTATGCCTTTTCTTGTCCTGTTACCACAGAAAATCATATTACTCTTTTAAATTGCTACCATATAGAATTGAAAATTCACGTTTACTCTGTGAAGGCTGAGTAAAACAATAAAAAGTAAAAAACAAACAAACAAAAAACCAAGATGGGTACACTTTTTTCTCTTTTTTCCTAATGGTAGTTTGTGATTGATTTTCTTAATTCCTCAAAGCCTCATTTTCATTTCTATGAATATAGTAGAATATGTGAAAAATATACCATGTAATAAAATAATCCTTTATTAGTTTTTTTAGTCATCTAGTGATGTTCCAGAGGCTCATATGTGCTTGAGCAGAGAGTCAATTTCTCTCATATATTCTTGAATTGACCCTGCTGAGTGTACTTTTGAAAGAAACCCTCTCAAAAAAAAAAAAAAAAGCCCAGAAAAAGGCATTCAGAAGTGAGTGCGAAGTCTCTTGCCAAGAGTCCACTTTCTGCACATTCGTGTTAAAAGAGAGTAAACCGTAGTATAGCCTGAGACCCTCAGGGAATTTGAGTTCCTAATTATTCTTTAAAGGTCAGTGAAAAGAAAGAAAAGCACTGAGGAAGTTTTGAAATGGAACTCTCAGTTGTATTGGCCAGGAAATGAATCCCAGGCAGGCAAAATTTGAAATCTAAGAAAACAAGCTTGATCTTTTAAGCATGGAATAAAAGGTAATGGAGTAGGATGGGGAATATGGAAAGGAAATCACAATCCCTGAGGAGTTGGTGAAAACCCAGAGGGCACAGAGAGAGACCGCCAAGGTCCATGTGGTCATTGTCAGTCTTGTCCTGCGTTTTAAAGACTTAGAGCCAGTCAATGTCCTTTGAAAGCTCAGAAAACAAAATTGATTTAGCCATTTAAGATTTGTCATTTTATCTTTCTTATGGTCAGTCTGTCACTTTCTACGTAGCTGAAAAATAGCCAATGGACTAATTTGCTTTGTATTAGGATAGCATTTAATGTAAAAAGAATTTAAAATTCTAAATATATATGTACATACATATATATATTTTTCCCCATGTGGAGGAATGGACAGCATATTGCCTAGATGAGAGCTTGAAACTGAGTAATCAGTTGAATCCATTTCACCTGCCTTCACTAATTAAGGTTGTTTTAAGGCTTGCATGTTCTCCAAAAGGCATGGGTCCCCAACAAGATGTTTGCCTGAGTTATTTTCCAGGAACTGGGAGGCAGATGAGTCTAGTTGAGCTGAGCCAGTAAAGACTGGATAGGACCACCGGCCCTCCAACTGGGCATGCGTGCATATCTGCACGTGTGGAGGGCTGTAGCTTAGTTAAGCAGTTGCAGAACAGTGATTATCACACCTTTTCCTCCTCACCTTTCCCCATACCCCCATGCCTGCCATGCCCCAGACCACCCTGCTTCTTTATTCGTTACCCTATAAGTACCCCCAGCCCCTGGTGTTTGGAGAGGCAGGCTTGGGATCTCTTCTCCTGCCTCCTCACTTGGCTGTCTTACAAATAAACTCTGTTTTTGTCTCTTTGCTGCAAACCTCATCATCTCAGCTTTTTGTTTGCTGCCGTCAGATTTGGGAACAAGCTTCCTGAGAGGAGGTCTTAACCAAGTAAATTAAAAATTTTTGTGGATAACTTCTGCTTCACAATTTTCATTAGATTTTACTTTTTGTAATACTATATTCAAGTAAGGGCAGCTCAACTGAAGTCATTTATGATTGAGTCCTACTCTGTACTTTTGTGTCTCAACAGAAAAAAAACAGCTTGGGGGCTATCACAAAACAGAACTTAGGCTAAGGAATTTCTCTTACGTAGCGAATTTGATAGACCTTTTCTAAATTCACTATTCTCTCTAGTAAGTTCAAAATTTCCTTGTGTGCTTTTCCTTTTCTTCAAATACTTCAGTAAGAGACGGAATCTATTTTGTACAACACACAACATTGTTGAAAGGCTGGGAGGGTTTTTTCCCACCAACTTGGGTGTGCACATGGCAGGGCTGTTTGCATATAAAAATGTGAATGTTGTAATGAGATCTCGAGGAAGGCGTAGTGGCTAAAGTAAGTTTCAACTAAGTTCCTATCAAAGTATTCCGAAAATGGAAAGTTTTCCGAAAATGGAAAGTTTTCCCAAAGGAGCTAGAAAAATCCCTTGACAGAACATCTTGAAAGAAAGAAGCCAAAATATAAAAGAAACTTATCTTACCCTCACAGAGAACTGGCAATACAGATACCTTCAATAAGCCTAGTTTGTGTTTTTTTAAAAGCAAATCTAAATGGCCTCACATGGTACTTTAAAATAGAACTCACTTAAAAAAGCAAATTCTGTTTGTGATTTCTCCTATTTGGAGGATTTACAACACAGATCTTTCTCCCACATGTGTAGGTGATCTTCTACTTGGGTCTAAGTAATCGTAAACGCTAAACTTGGCTTAGCTACTCTTAGTGAAGCTTCTTCCTCTTAATTTTATTACCATAACAAGACTTGAATATCAGATATCAAGTTTCCCTCAAGATAGTAGATCTAGTTCAAAAAACAAAAACCAAAAAACCTGCGGTTAGTAGATAATGCCTTAAATAACATCAGGTGGCAAAATCATGATGACTCTTCCTCATACATGTAACTACATTGATGGAAATTTATCTAGAGACCCAGATAACTTGTTGGAACTCTAAAGCTCACTGAGACTGGAAATGGCAGCTTAAAATGCTTACAAATGCTTTAAGTCAGTATTTCTCTATCTCAGCCCTAAAGGAAGTTTGGAGTTTAGCTCCTTGTTGGAGGCTGTCCTGAGTGCTCTCGGATATTTAGCTGCATCCCTGGCCCCTACCCACCTGATGCCATTGCACCTCCCCTGCCAAGTTGAGACAACCAAAAATGTCTCCAGACATTGCCAAATGTCCCCCCAAGGACAAATTCACCCCAAGCTGAGAACCACTGCTCTAAATCGTAGCAGAAAGGCAAAATAACTTGGCTCACAATCTCTTTTCCTCTTAAATTAGTCCACAATCACTTCTCAATGCCCCATTTTTTCCCCTTGTATCTCTGAAAGGGTAACAAATCTTTGAAAACTTTTTTTTAAACTCTTTGTTTAAATGAGATGAATCTTCTAGGTTGCCTTCTTCCTGGCCCTTTGCCCAGCCTAAGCTGCTCAGCCCTACTCAAGGGAGAAAAAGTCCTCTCCCCTTCAAAACAGAGGTCCTTCATTTTGTCCTCCCCTCTGTCTTGTCACTAGGACACACGGGCTGTTTTCAGGGTGGTAGGTCTCCCTAGTAGCATGGACTTGACTCAAAGCTAAGATTTTTGTGTCTTGCAAGGGCTCTGACAGATGCTTTGAAGGGATGTTCTAGCAGTTTCTGAGACTTAGGCTTGGGACGGTGCTGTGGTGGAGCTTGGAAGGGACTTAGACTCCCACTGAGTGAGCCACCTGAACCCAAAC